ATAATGTACTCATCGAGCCCCTCAAACCAGTCAAGAAGCTTCAGCACGTTTGCACACGATGTCTCGGGGCTAACGTGCATCATCAGCGCCACCTCCAGAGGGATGGGGTCAAGTCCAGGCTATGAATGGGAGGGCAGAACGTACATATATTTAGGCAGAAATTCATGCAAATAAACCCAGCTCCATTGATGAAAACACTTACCACTTTTAGCTCCTCCTCATCCCTTTTCACATATTTTATGGCCACCTAGAAGGGGAAATATCACAAATTTAATGTAGTACATTTTGAGGAGGTGTCACCTTTTATAAATGTCTGTGACAGGCGTGAGAAGATGGATCTCTGGAGAGATATTACTATGCATATTGTGACAACACCATTTGGAGACTTACTGGGAAACCGTCGCTCTTACGAATTCTGGCATACACCGACCCAAAACCACCCTGTCCAAGCAGCACCCCCTGGTGGTAAAGGTCTTCCAATCTTTCTCCAACATTAGGCAGATAAACTTGAAAAAAAGAATCCATGCAGCACATTCTCTATGATAACACACATTCAGAAACTTCACTGTTAAATTTTAATGCATGCTACTTAAAGTTTATTACTGCATGTCTATCCTGGACTTGGGCCAGTTTATTCAGTATTATCATTAGTTTGCCTAAAAGATGCTGCAGTCAGAATAAGCTTGGTTTCAAAACCATCTCAGCTACGGTATGAAATCAGTCTGGTTTCAAGTTTGTTCCAAAATATTCACAGTTTTAATCAATCAATCAATGCATTTGTTTATTTAATTTGTACGTTTCCTTGCAGCAAGCTGTATTAAAGTATTATTACATCGCTTTTATTTGGTGTAATTCTCATTCTCTATCAAAGACAATCATCTTTTCATTCAAACCTTTGCAGGGTCTTTTGAAACTGAAATCACCATGCCACCACAAGTCGCTTTGGTACCCGGTTCTTTTGTTCTTCCATACTATGGACTTCGGTACTTGGTTCATCTGTACTTTCCTCTTCGGTACCCATTTTCCTCTAGAATAATTTAAAAGTTAAAATGGCCCTGGTTTGTGATTAATTGTTCCAGCTACATCCGGGCCACACATTTCTCATTTTCAAAACAGTTATTATTATTATTTTTTTTTTCTCAAACTCATCCAGAACACAACATTTTTTAAAATTTATTACAAAAACTCCAGTCATAAGAAAAATGTAAATGTTCAAAAGCATTGTAAGAAGCTTGTGTGGAATAAATTGTATATAAATTCAATATCATATGTATATATTTTTTTTAATAATAATGCATCATGCAACCTTTCAACACCACTACTAAGCCACATTTTGATATGTCAGGTAAATTATGTTCCTGCGGGTTTTACTGAGACTAGGGATGCAAATTATCGAGTAATTCATTAATCAATAGTTGTTTCATCTTATCGATCGATGATCGATTAATTGCTAAGCGGCAATTTTTCTATTTACTTCAAAATACTTCCACATATTGTGCATTTGGCGTCGTTGTCGTCATTGACCAACTTGAAGTGGCTCCATACTGCACTCCGTTTTGCCCTCTTCATCCTGTGTACCGTTTGTCTTTTATCTGTTGTTTTATCTGTTGTTTGCTTGTGTTCCCACGTGTGCGTCAAGTACGTCTGGCGTCAAGTGCGCCCCACGAGGACTGGCAAGGAATTATGGGTTCAAAATACAATTAATTGCAATTAATTAATTTTAATCGAGTAATTTCTTATCGACAATTAATTGATAACGATTAATTGCTTACATCCCTAACTGAGACCCATCATTTCTTAATGTTGCTGGCACTACGTGTGACCGGACACTGCAGCCACCCCTGCGGTCGCTGGCTAAATTGACCCACCTGATGGCATGCCCATTTATCTTGGTGTCTGTTGCTTTTTCAGACAGATGACTCTTCTGCACAGCCCCTACAACATATAAAAAGCACACAAAGCAAATAAAAAATAAACAAAAAATAATAACGGAATAAAATGCGTCTTTTCACTGAACTTCCTCTTGTTATTGACACCTTTCCAATTGATTGCCTTAGCCACACTGTCAGAAAAAAATATGTGCTAAAATGTTCCAAGTCAGATTTTTGGTATCTCTCCCCCACAACTGAAGCCAGCATCACCACCTGTGGAAAAGATAGACTGAATTAGTGAGATGCAAAGAACAAAGAAGATAGAGAGGGGTTCAAGTCATTGAGACAGTTAAAGGAGGGGTATGAATGCTTTTCTGATGCCATTTTAGCCAAATTACTTCATATCCTTCTCAAATCTTCTTCAGATCCTGACCAATTAAATGCTCTGATATCAAAATTAAAAATATCAGCCACCTGTTGAACAGGCAGGGCTGTAAAAACCTCCAATCATTAAGGTTACCTTTCCAGCTGTAAACCTAGCGGAAACACTGAAGACTCAGTAACACTACAGTAACGCTGGAAGCAAAATTCAATGAGAATCTGAATTTGAAATGAACGAAAAGTAAGAAACTGAAAAAAGGAGGGAATAATACACTTAATGTTTCATCTCATAGATAAAATACACTTTAAATCTAAATAAACATATTTTACACAGGCGTACAAAAATACTGCCGACACCTCATTCCACTTAACATCCTCAATAACTTCTAACACAAGCCAAAGCGGTCAGCGGCTCGGATAACGTTAGCTAGTGACATTGGCTAAGATTTAACACACAATGGATGGACATGTAGTAGTTTCGCGGAGATATTCACCAAACAAGCTCTCACCATAATCGCTAATTTTTACTTTAAGCCCACTTTCGTTTTAGTTATATTTTTTAATCGCATGGATAGGACTATATCAGCTATAGCTGTCAGCTCACCCTGTTAGCCTGTCTGACTAAAAGGACTACGGCTTCCATAATGTCAGTCAGTGTAAACTAAGTTAGAAAACTTAATGTTTGATAGAGATATTTAACAGACTAACATGATGTCAGTCTTAATATAGTTTCAAAATGCACTTACCAAGAACCACAAACAGATCATCAGTTTGCTGTGACTCTTTTGTTGACTATTAGTGAGGCGCACGCGCATCTGCGAGTTTCAGAAAAGCGCGGTTCAATTGTGGCGGGTCCAGTCATATTATTTTAAAGTAAATAAGGTATTTGAAAATATTATTTAGCAGTGAATTTGTATGTTCTTCCCCTGTCATGGTTGGGTTTCCTCCGAGTTCCCCCCACAGTCCGTAGGTGTGAAGGCGTGTGTCCCCGTCGATCGATTGGCGTCCCTTCCTGCGTTACTACCTACCTCGGAGATATTGAAAATGGATGGATAATTATTATTTATCCATTCTCTAAAATATTGTGTTTTATTCGTTCCGAAGCCGAAAGTATTTCCACCAAGTACACCGTAAATGACGGAGCGGCAAGGAATCTGCCATTGCCGTCTTGTTCGGCGATTAACCCCTCCCCCCGCCACAGGTGTTCCTCATTAACATGCAGGGAGCGACCACACCCAGAGCCGTTCACTACATTATTTTGATTTGTATTCAGGCAAAATAGTATGGTCGATACATGATATATGCTCGTTTATCTCTTGCTAAAGCGTCAGAATCTCTTTCGTTCGTTCGATAAAGTGCAGCTGTACAGTACTGTATAATCATAATGGTCCATGTATTTTATGTTGGTAATGCCTTAATGTGCTTTATCAATTACCATATGTAAGTACAGGATAATCACATTATATTTGAGGTCCGTGGGTGGTTTAGCTTTATCCGCGGCTTCGGCCATCTGCGGCTGGTCTTGTAACGTATCACTAATGTAATTATTTATCACTTAACACTACGGGAAAACTCATGCCCAAAATAACAGCCATATACAGAACATTTCACTGACAAAACAAACGGTTTTTTTCTGCTTACCACTTATATGCTTACTACTTATATAAAATTTGTACTCACCTTCCCGGCTCGCGCCTGCGTTCCCACCCGCTCGCTCTTCCCGCCTCTGGCTGCTTCCATCTCCAACGACATTTCACGGCCAGTTATGATATGCATCCGCGGTGAGTTTTGGCCTTTTGGGGTACCTTTTATTTTCTAGATTCTAGGGGGAAATTGGCAAATTTAACTTAACCAGAAAATCAAAACGTTTCGTATATTTATTTAATTTCAATGTGAGAATATTTTAATAATAAAAAATAAGGCGGCCTATTTTTTACAGTGGAGGAACCTCTAACTGTGGTGATACAAGTGTATCTGAATAACTTATACGTAAATTTTACCATAGTGTATTTTCCCCATTATATTTTATGGCAGTGTATCATTATTGAATAAGTAAATATTATAAATTGATTAAAATAATACACGATGTATTAAATTCGTTGAAGGGAACGGCGATCGAAGTAGCACAATAGAAGAAATTTTGCTTAAATTTTGATTAGTAAGAATGCTTGCTGGAATCATCTACCTTATGAGTTGACTAATGATCTGTCAGGAAATGGCAAGTAAATAGTGCACTTACATTCTAATGAACTCTAACGTAATTTTGTATAATAATGTAATAAACCTAAAATAGCGTTGGAGGTTGTAAGGGAGGAATAGACCACCACAAGACTTGTACTACAATTACAACAAGTTTTATTCAATACAATTCATACAGCGACCGATCAGGTCGGATCTGGGTTCACAAAAGGGTCCGGCCCCGCTATCTCCCCATAGCAAACCAACCCTTCCAAACGTGTGTTAACCCACGTTACCACACAATAAATCCCGCACCACACCACATCCCTATCAGGGCACGGCACACCAATAGCACTGCAATACTCAGTAATCCCCACACTTCGGGCACAGGAAAGCGTCACGGAACCGGTACCACCTCTCTGGTCCCGCCCCGACTCCTAGCGGCTACGCTGCTTACTTTAAAAAACACAAACAAACATACACGGACAAGATTAAAACGTGTCCTCCCACGAGGCTCAAGACCCTCCCACGGGGAAAGAACGTTACTTCGCACAGGTCCGCAAGCAAAGACACCACGCGGAAAGGGAATTCCCCAGCCGCTACGTCACTATGGGGATGCCGCTATTCACCTCCACCCAACACTTTAAACTCAGCAGCGATCATGCACTCCTAACTCCCCCGTCCTAACTCTCCTCTCCCTACCACACCGGAAGCTATCCCTGCCGCCCGCTATCTGTCTTCGCCGCCGGCAGCCCTACACGGCATACGAGCGGCACCTCCCTCCCAGAACCAACGAGTACTGTGTCTAACACGCAAGCTCTCATTCAGCACGACTCTCCCGAACCCTGTATTCTCCCTCTTTTAATCCCACATCCCTAACAACCCAGGTGTGGCCACTTAATTAACTTGCCATGCCAATCCCTCCCCCCTCCACACACACAGACCTCTCACTACAATAAGTTGGGAGCTGTTGCCACCAGTTGTACCAACAGGCCAAGGCAGTGCCGACAAATCGCTTGTTTTTGCACCGTATTGTCTCTGGGGAATAGGAAATATTTCCATACAGCGCAAGAGGACTGTCGTTCGGTGACCAGCTCTTGTTCGCTTTTCTCATTTTCTTGCATTTTTGTTAAATTTCACACAAACGTGCTACACTGTCTGTGACGACCAAGACACCTTAGACTGCATTTCGTATCGGCTCAGTTGTTTCTTAATTTTATTAAAAACAGGACAGAAAGTTGGGAATTTGGGGACGGCCGGTAGTAACGGGAAGAGACTGTATGAGAAACTTTGGGCTGGGAGACGTTGTTCAACTTGTTGTGTCCGTCGTTGATGTTAGACCGGTGTTCCGGGCAATTCGGTTTCCCTATGTTTCCCCTGTCTATCGGGAAATAATGTTTCCCCTAATATTAAAGCAAAGAGGTATGTGAAATGTCTGAAAATCACTCAAGTACATTATTACATGTGAATACTGTATTGTTATTAGTACCGAGGCCCAGAGNCCCAGCTCCATTGATGAAAACACTTACCACTTTTAGCTCCTCCTCGTCCCTTGTCACATATTTTATGGCCACCTAGAAGGGGAAAAATCACAAATTTAATGTAGTACATTTTGAGGAGGTGTCACCTTTTATAAATGTCTGTGACAGGCGTGATAAGATGGATCTCTGGAGAGATATTACTATGCATATTGCGACAACACCATTTGGTGACTTACTGGGAGGCCGTCGCTCTTTCGAGTTCCGGCATAGACCGACCCAAAACCACCCTGTCCCAGCAGCACCCCCTGGTGGTACAGGTCTTCCAGTCGGTCTACAACATTAGACAGATAAACTTGAAAAAAAGAATCCATGCAGCACATTCTCTATGATAACACACATGCAGAAACTTCACTGTTAACTTTAAGTAGCATGCATTCAACATGCATCACATTTATTCAGTATTATCATTAGTTTGCCTAAAAGATGCTGCAGTCAGAATAAGCTTGGTTTCAAAGCCATCTCAGCTACAGTATGAAATCAGTCTGGTTTCAAGTTTGTCCCAAAACATTCACAGTTTTAATCAATCAATCAATCAATCAATGCATTTATTTAATCTGTACGTCCCAGACAGTGTTCATAACTGTTCTTGCAGCAAGCTTTATTAAGGAATATTATTACATAGCATTTTTGTTGTAATTCTCATTCATCAAAGACAATCATCTTTTCATTCAAACCTTTGCAGGGTCTCCTGAAACCGCAGTCGCCGGCGCCACCGCAAGACGCTTCAGTACTATGATCTTTGGTACTGTGGTCTGCCGTGCTCAGCTCGTCAGTACTTTCATACTCGGGGCTCGCTCTCATTCTCTTCCTTGGAGGCTCCTCGTCGCAATCGGAGTGGGGCCTTTTGGTAGCCATTTTTTCTCTAGAATACCTTAAGAGTTAAAATGCTACGTTCTCCAAAGAAAGCAAAGAGGTCCTTTACCAAGCCAAGCAGGATGCAAATGATTGTGATGTGGCTGTGCAGTTGCTTATATATGTGACCAACATTTGCGTCCCGTAGCCTAGATTCTAGAACCTTACGCAAAACGGGCTGCAGCCCAGAGACCCCACCCGCGTCAGTAATATTTAAAAATAAATAAGGCGTTTGAAAAATATTATTTATCGGTGAATTTGCAGATTCTCGCGCTGTCATGATTGGGTTTCCTGCGACTTCCCCCCACAGTCCAGAAACAGGCTAAGGTGAATTGGTGACGTCATGTTGTCCGTATAGGTGTGAAGGCGTGTGTGAATGGTGTGTGTCCCCGTCGAAGGATTGGCGTCCCTTCCTGGGTTACTACTTGCCTCGGGGATATTGAAAATGGATAGATGGATGGATAATTATTATTTATCCATTCTCTAATAAGTTGTGTTTTATTCGTTCTGAAGCTGAAAGTATTTCCACCAAGTACACCGTAAATGACGGAGTGGCAAGGAGTCTACCATTGCCATCTTGTTCGGTGACAAATACAATTAGGAAAACACTGAGCCGACACGAAATCCAGTCTTAAGTGTCTTGGACGGTCACACACGGTGTGGCACGTTTGTGAGAAATGTAACAAAAATGCAAGAAAATGAAAAAAGCGAACAAGAGCTGGTCACCACACGACAGTCCTCTTGCGCTGTATGGAAATATTTCCTATTCCCGAGACAATACGGTGCAAAAACAAGCGATTTGTCGGCACTGCCTCGTGCCTGTTGGTACAACTGGCGGCAACAGCTCCCAACTTATTATACAAAATTCCGTTAGAGTTAATCAGAATATCAGTGCACTATTGACTTGCCTTTGTCACTATAAAGACAGACTCTGCTGGTAAATAATAACAAGATACCATGAACAACAGCAACTTTTGACTATAGTGTTGTTTTGTGTGTATGTTTTCAGTTTCTTTTGTTTTAAAAATATTACACCACTCTGGTTCCAGTGGAGCACATAAGTTTTTTTGCCTGGATTGCCTTCAACTCCGTAATGACTGTCATGATCATTTCCAATTGTGATGTGAAATCACTTTATTTGCCTCGTCACTTGACAGTTGGTATGGTACAGGTGAGTGAGAAAAAATGTTGGCAAGTGCACTACAGCAGTGACAAACTACTGCAAATAAAAACAAATACGGTGGAAACCGCCAATAGTGATCACGGTTATAGTGATTAACCTCTTATATGATCTAAAACGCTTCGGGACGCAATCATTTCTGTACAAATAGCCACTGTTTAAATAATTCGCTTTAGCAATGAAGTAGTGCGCTTACTGCGCTATTTTTTTAAATACATGACATCATATGGAAAAATGAAAACTACAGTACTTCTTTTATTTTCTTTACATTACTTTGATAGGTCTATTTTGCCTTGAGGTAACCCGTCTGCTTCTGGGTAGCTTCCTGAGGCTAATGCTGCGTGCACAGAGAGTAGTGTTCTCTCAATGACAAATAGGCTATATAGACTCATCGAAGCTTATGACAAATTGCCAAAAACGAGCTAACGAGATGCGGCAGCGGAATTACATACAGTATACTTTGAAAAGCCTTTGAAGCAGCTTGCTTTATTTTGAAAGAGTCAATAAATTTCAGTGAACAGTGACGCTGTCCGTTTAAATAACTGATACTTTATTGATCCCCGTGGGGAAATTGTTTTTACGCCTCCCTCAACTTGCTCTTTGAAGAGTAAGTTGTCCGCAAAGGGCAGTCACCTGTTGGGGCGCCCAGGGAGCTGGGGGTTAAGGGCCTTGCTCAAGGACTCACAGACGGGCTGAGGCTCGGTTTGAACCGGCAACCTTGTAATTACAGGTACACAGGCTTCGCCCACTGAGCCACACGCTGCCCCCATTATTATTACCGCATATTCATAAAGTAAATCTACAAATGTCAATTAGATGATTGTACAAAACGCCCTCAGGCTGTTATAAGGATTTGGTGACAGAAACTCTTGTTATTTAGTTAAACTTCATTAAATCAGTTATGACACTATTCGGGTGCAGCCATTAGTTTATTTGTTTCCATGGTTGCACGTGGGGCACACGGTGCGAATTTAGTTGCAGTCTCCTGCATCCCCCCCCCTCATATTAATATTATTAAGGATAACTGCGTGTCTAACTGGCAGTTAATTTCTGTAGTGTGCGTAAATGACCGAAGGTGAGAGAAATAGGCCTATTATGTCTGGTTGCATTTATGTTTACAGCGTCATTATACTGTATGCAAGGTTAACTTTAGGATTTCTCTGCAGTCCTTCTGTTTAAATAACTAGTGAAGTAATTAGTGAATGCCTTATTCGCTTCTATCGTGTTGCAATGTGTAACTGAATGTTGAATTATATATGTAGGCTACATATGCATATAATCCTGTGTTATTGTCGCGAATGGGCAGAGTTGATAATTGTACAATGTGTTATGTATCATGCGGTGCAGTGCTGTGTCTATATAAGTAATCTGTCGTGGATATGGATTGTGATGTGAAGAGAAAGGTCGCTATGTTTCATTTGTGATTTGAAAACTGAGAGTGTTATGAGTAGTTCGCTGCGAGTGCACTCTAACGATCCTCTGTTTACTTTAGACCACACACACCTGTAGAAAACCCCTGTGTCATGAGCGCGAGAACTGGATAAGGGATGTTGCGCCTGAGTTAAGAAATAAAGATTCTCCAGGATCCTGAAGTGGTGTTCTAGCCGACTCTGCGGAATATGCACAACTTGAATCAGACCCAGCGCCCTGGGAGAGTGACCCCTATCGTAGTCTCCACTACAGTGGTATTGTGGCTGAGATATAAAGACAAATTTTAAAAATCGGTTATAATGATCACCTGCTTATGGCGATAATTTTTACACTGACAGACATGATCACTAAATGCGGTTTCCAGTGGTTACGGGAAAAATAATATTAGTTTCTCTTTGTGCAAGTACTTTGGCCAACCTCTGTTGTTTTAAATGTGTTCTACAAATGATTCTTAATTTTTTCTCTGTTTTTGCATAAATATGACCTCGAAATGTATTGCTGAGGTTACTGTCACCTAACTGGGTGCCACCAGTTATTGATAACAATGAGTCACTGTTTTTTTCCCACAGTCAAATATGTAACATTGGATAAATTTCCCCAATAAATAAATCAATAAATGGAACATTTTTCTCTTTTATGCCATTTGTTTAACTTCTCTTTATCTAATCTGAACTTTATCTAGTTTGAAGTTACTGTGAAAATCTCTGAAAATGTTGAGGAAAATTGTCATGTAAGGAAGGGACAACTCAAAATGCAGACGTAGGGTGAAATGAAAGGTGGCTATAATAACCAAGGTAAACATAAACATGAAAATAAAGGACCAGTAGAGACGTACTACACCAAAGAACGGACACCTATGGGGGAGGCTAGACGTACCCTGAAACACTGGAAAACATTCACGTAGGGAATCGCACATGTGATGATACTGAAGATGACAATGACTGGACTGGGGAGCATAAGACAAGCAAATACTAATATACTTGGACCAACGAAGCGCAAAGGAGAGGCATGTGATACCAGTAGACACAAACGGAAAGGAACGGAATTGCCAGCAATGACCTCTGCTGGTCATATGGGGACATGACAGACTGATTCTGACAAAAATGATCTGGTATTATACAGTATATTTGTGTGTGGAAAAAATATGTGAACCTTTGCAGTCAGTAACTGTTGTACCCCCTTATGTAAGAAAACTTCAACTAAACATTTTCAGTAATTGTTCATATCAGGATAGAATAATTTTAGTCTATTTGTTCTTATAGAACAATTTCAACTCAGGGACATTGGTGGACTTCCTCACATGAGCTGCTCGATTCAGGTCTTTTATGGATCCAAGCATTTTATTTGTCGTATACAAAGTGTACAATCAGACTGTCAAAATCATCGGCCTTGAAATGACAGCTGTAGTGAACTGTGGTACCATTAGGCTCAAAATCTTTCTGCCGGACAGCTATGGCTCAAGCATTCATTAATCCAGGATGTTTGGAGAACAAGATCAAAAACAAGATCATGTTATAATTAAGGGTTCTAGGTACTTTATTGTCATCAGCTGCTGTGTAGATGTACATAGTGTAATGAGACAGCGTTGTATGTGGACACAGCTGCTGAAAACAATTAAACATTCAACGTCAGATTAAGTGACAGCCCGGAGCTCTGCTTGTCCCTAATCGCGTTACTTCTTATCACTCAAGCAAAATCTGAGCAGACAGTCGCTGTCGGTTTTGCCGATTCCCCCGATGCATCTGGCTGATTGACGCCTTTCCTCCTGGTTCTTCTCGGCTCACCTGGCTGGCGATGCGGCTTCAGGGAGTGTGGTTGACGGCGCATTGTTTCGTGGATGAGCCACTTGACGACGCGGTTCGTGGTGAATCACCGACTCCACACCACAGCCAACCCCAGGCTCCCCTGCATGTCCCACAACGGGGGGGGGGGACTAATTTCACAGTCTTTCCTGCCTTTTGATGCCTGTTGGGTCACCAATGCCTGGCCAGTCACCAATTAATTGTTTGCCTTAAATGTATTTCACATGATTTTTTTTATCATTATTCTGAAACATTTTCCATCACCATGAAATACTGTTATGTTCTGTCATTTTTCCATGAACCTGCTCTGTCTTCATTTAATTTATGCAAGACTGAATGCTGAAAGAATGAATGGAAGTGAATATTTATGGGTGTGTAATGTCTAAGTTTTTGTTTAATTACGCTACATTTTATTATATTGTAATATATTGGACACTGCTTGAAATAGAGTGATTTACATCATGAGCAGGACCTCAGTCCAGTCTGCTCTTTCGGCAGTTTCTTCAGTAATGAGAATATGGTCATATGCTGGATAAAGCTGTTGGCAGATGGATGGAACATGAATGATGTGAGCATTCGTTTTTGGTCATGCCAGTGGGGTCAGGTCAAATGGGAATATCGCTGTATATATAAATATTTATTCATGCCATAGCAGTTCATCCTAACAGTTTAAAAGCAGCCAGCCTATGCAGTGTTGCAGTGTTATCTTGCAGGGTAATTACACTCTGAGTGTTGTATGGTAGTATACTGAATGTACTGAGTGTGAACATACCAGGCTGCATCCTCTAGGTAAAACCAGTGCATTTTATCACTTGGAATCAGCTGTGGGATTGGGAATGGTTTGAACTGGTTTTCAATGTTTAGTAGTGAACTTACTGGGAGACAGTTAGCAGTGTAGACCAGTACTGTAACTTTGTATTACAGGGAAGGGCCATACATATGGTTTAGAGCCCAGTCCGCCGCTGCAGCCGCTTCCTCGTTAGTCTGATACCTCAAAAAGATTTTAGAGGATCTTTTACAAACTGGGAAGTCAAATTCTGAGACAAAACATTTCAGAACTGAAGCAACTCTGCTGAAAACCTCAACACCTATGCCTGCTTCTGACGCTTTCTGCTGACATTACCATCGTCACCATGGGACCTTCATCCCTGCTGCGTGCAAAATTCTCCCTCTTAAACCATCAAACCCCAAACCATGGAAAATGAATAAAAAAAAAAAAAACTGGCATGTCGGTTTCAGGGGATTTATTTACCACACTGCCAGTGAAGTCACAGTGCAGATCATAGAAAACTGTATAATACAGAATAATTATGTGCCAGATGATTGACTTTGCCTTCACCCATTCCTTCCTCTCTCCTGTTGATATCGAGCATGAGGCTCTACTGTCGCCCCCCTCGCCCCATCTTCAGCCAAGAGACGAACTGCTTGCCAGCTTGGTTCTGCAGGTAGGAGCTGAAGTCGCTGGTGTAGGTGCCGTCTGCATGACGTCCTACCAGACCCCTGTGAAGGGACAGACGCCAGGTACCTGCCATAGGTGAGAGGACCTCCAGTGGAACGTAAATGGAGGAAGAGTCTGATTTTCTCACCTATTAACTGCATTGTTTCTTGGAATGGAGCCTGCTTATCATTTGATATTCGATGCCATAGAAATACCCAGAGACTCATGCAGAGATGATACATTTCGGCACCTTATAAGCAATTTGTCTCCACTGTCCTGTTTGACATGTCAGGATGGTACTGAATCTCTGTAAATATCTTTCATAAACGAATACATTTTCATAACATCTCAAAATTCATAATTAAACTTCTGCGGGTGATCCGCTGTTCACATCAGATCTTTCAGACTAACTGATTTATTCATTACCAATACAAAATTACAGGACCATTGTATCAACTGATGGTATGTATTAGTGTTTATAACTAACAACACTGAAAATATAGCTCTGAGTTTCTTTTGTTTAAAGAAATTCCAGAAAGTCATCACCTACACACTTTCAGTACCCGAAACACCCAGATGGGGGCATTATATGTATATGCAGTTTTGCTATGATGCCTGTTTCCGTAAAGTTACTGGATATACTAAGATGTCTATACAAGACTCTCCCACTGGCTTATACACCATTTTGACCCTGATGAGTTTAAAATTGCAGCGTTAAACCCTTAATGATTTTCACAAATTATACTCTGTTTCCATAAATATGAGGGAACAGTGTGTCAGGAAATTGTATATGTGTATAAGAAGTGTGTGGGTAAAATCTCAGAAACTGAACTTAAAGAACACTTTAAGAAGGGTTTGATCTCATCCTCAGCGTAATGAACTTAACGGTCGATGCTTTGGTTATGTTTTCAGTGGTTTGCTCCATCCTTATTTTTTCCATAAACCCCGTTGTTTTAATAGTGCAATTTTCCATAACACAAGGTTTTATGGGAACACATCTATCATTTTATATCAGAAACACGATATACAGATTAAGGCTTAATCCATGTATCAGTTATTATCCGGTTACATCGTGGTTACGCCGTTCACATGGAAGTAGAGCACACTGACTCACCCGCTGCTACTCCTCTTTGAGTTCATCAGCCACTGGATGAAGTCTTGTGCCCGTCTCGTCTCCAGGTATTTGCTGTAGTCGTTGGTGAAGGTTCCTTGAGAGTGCCTCTTCATGTGTGAGAAGTCCCTGGGTTCCTCTAAAATGACGTTTTCTGTCAGGAAACTGCAAAAAAAAAACATGTCATCCCTTTCTTGGATTCTGAAAAATACTCGCTACATGTTATGTTTTCAAATGTTGATCTTCAGACATCACGTTCAAGTGTGGCTAAATGTTCAGTTTTCAAATGTTGATCTTCAGACATGATCTCATGGTTCTGGCAGTTGAACCTACAAGCTTGAAGGTGGGGGGTGACGGAAGACATTACCTGGAGCTGTCTTCTGTCTCCTGTGGGAGCACTTGCCGGCCGCTTTGAACAACGACCAGCAGGACCAGTGCGACTGTGGAATGGATGCCTGTCATGTTGAGAGCTGGTGGGTAAAACACACACAGGTTCCCTGCTGTCCGGATACTGATTTCCAAACCGCGTGCGTTTCTCTGCTGGCCAGGAAACAGGATGGAATGGCAACTCCCCCCACCCCCCCACACAACAGGGGACTTAGTTAGACGGGGGGTGGGGAGGTACTCACCTGTGGGCTTCTAAGCGCAGTGCTGGAGGAGAGCTGAGCGCAGTGCTGGAGGAGAGCTGAGCGCAGTGCTGGCGTTGCACAGGATCGTCAGGCGCCCCGGGCTGCCTTTGCGGCCCCCCCTCCTGCATGGCGCTCTTATATAGTGGCGGGGTGCAAGGCGGTGAGCCTCTCCAACGCTGCGTGGTGCATTCATTATTCCCGATCCACCACACCGCGCCGGACACAGCATGCCCAAGGCGCACCGCCCAGCCAGCGGAAGCGGGAACGGTGCTCCGCAGCACGAGCTAAGCAGACGTTCCGGATGGAGCTCGGCTGCTCCAGGATCAGAATTTTACAGACAGATGAACGGGGCCATCCAGGCTGAAACTGCGGGTTTATTTTCAGCCCAGTGATTCCCAAGGGACCTAGTGGCTTCCTCTCGGATACTGTCCAGATACGAACAATTAACAAATTAATGAAATAAAAATTCAGCTGAGTACCTCTGAAGTATGTAATCAATATATTTATATTTGAATATTATATTTCAGGAAATATTTTAAAATTGCATTTTTATAGCTGGTAACATTGTTGTATTTATGCATCTTAGTTTTCAATTAACCAAACTGACATTTTCACCATACTGAAACATTCAATGAAGATTATGAATTTGAATAGGCATACAGGTGCTCAAAATATAAAGTGGTTTAGATTTTTCTATATATTCAGTATTTATTCTCTTATGTGGACATTTTTTATGATATATTCATCATCCATCTTCCATGGCTGCTTATCCAGTTCAGGGTCTTGCTGAGTTGGGAGGCCACTCTCTGCTTGGGGTGCCAGTGCAACACAGCACACGTACACAGGCAACTTGTAGACATGGTTTCTGCAAACCGTACGCTTTGGGATTAGGAGAGAAAATAGTCATATCTGGGGAAAGCCAAACTATGAGAGAGAGAGTGTGCTCCACGCACAGCCAGGACGGGCCACACCGCATCCCCCACCATGGAGGTCCAAGGCAGCGTGAAACCCCACCGGACGGCAAACCAGCCCTTAACTAATTATTTAATGCTTAAGCAGCCCTGTACTTCCAAACATGAGCAGGTCCACATTAAAGGGGGCAATATGGCTGATTATCACATGTGGTTTTTAAAGGTTTGTGATCCGGGTCCTGAACCACTATTACCAGTTGGCACTGGGCACAAACACTCCAGCAGCACTGGTTAACAGTTACACAGAGAGTGTTTGTGTATGTACAAACCAATAGATGATGCAAACAAAGGACAAAATACAGATAATTTCATTAATTTATTATACCTCATATAGTCTCAGGTCTTCTGTGTAAATATACATCACAGCTGGTCTTTGGTCTGCCTTTTGCCAAAGTTTATACTGTAAGTCATCACATAAATATCAAACCATGGGAAAATCCTGAAAAGTGTTGGTTCACGTCCATAACAGTCTGAATGTGTCAGGTCAGGGACATTTTTCATCCAGTTGGAATGTAGGCATAAATAACAACACTCATTTTTACACACTGAATCAACAGACAAACAAAAGCATAATTACATTGTACACAAAAATGCAGAAATGGGTCAAGCTACCCCCCAGTACAGCCGTCTGTCTGTCTCTACCCTTGTGTACATCACGCATTCTCTGTGTCCGCCTCTATCTGAATGGACCGTTCCGGGGCCTAATGTTGTTTTACTTGGCTTTGTCAAAGCACTTGAGCAGGAAGTGACTCAAGTGGGTGTAGACGTGGCGATGGGCGGAGCCTTGAAGGCCATGGTCTCTGTCCGTGTACCACTGTAACAGGGAAGAGGAAAAATATATTTACTGCAGATATCCATCCATCTATTCATCCCTCTATCCACCCATCCATCATGTATCTATCCATGCATTTGTCCATCAGTCCGTTATCCATCCTTCAATCCAAAGACCCATCGTTCTTCTCTCCATCCTATCCACCTAGTCATCATCCATCCATTTGTTCATCATTCCATTTTCCATCCATCTCTCCATCCTTCTATCTGCCCATCCACCATCCGTCAATCTATCCACAGCCACCCAGAGTAAGCCAGGAAACTATTCCTGGAATCCCAGCGCAGAGCAGACTTGGTAAGACATATAACTACTAACTCATATTCTGATTTACAAAGGGATTTCAATCAGCTACTGCCCTGTGAGTCAGGTCACCCAGTTAAAGCAAATATATTGTCTGAATCAGGTGTATGTGGGTCTTCCTAGGTAAGGCTGGATAAGGTTTCTCAAAGGGCCCAGTGGAGAAGGCATTAACTAATTAACAGCCAGTTACTCAGCACAAATCACATAACCCAGCAGTAAAAAAGCAACATGGGTCAAGTTACACCTTAAAAGGCCTGGCAACCATTAACCAGTAAATGACCCTCAGTAAATGACTCATTAACACTGAAGTTCACACTAGACCCACAAGCATCTGTACAATAGCACAGGGCTCTAACTGGACAGTGACGGTTTATACGATACAGGGCAGGCTGTGGCTTTATCCTCATCACAAAGCTATATGCTTCTTTAAGCTTGTGCCCCTGCACCCGTCCTCTGTCACCCCGGGCAACAATTTTGTGTTCTGAGATCGTTTATCAAACATTACGATTAAGGTATGTAAACGTTTAAAGTGTCCAGTTATCCTGACGCTCCCAGAACATTATCCCACTACTACAACTTCTGCTACACCTCTGCCGCTGCCGCTTTACACTGCTAAGGTCATGGGTTTGAGGCTGGACAGTGTATTAACAGTATACACATTGAGCTAAGGCAAGGAGTATGCACTGATACAGTGTGTATGGAGCATGCGCTGATACAGTGTGTATGGAGTAGGGCTGGGCGATAAAACGATTACGATATGTATCGCGATAGACACGTGATCGATATCAATAAAAAATGTGTTCGATAAAACGTTCGATATTTTT